GGCTGGGCTGCAGGGATGAGGTCAGGGTGGTGATCCAGGTCAGGTTAGGCCTCACGGAGGTTCTCAGAGCTAAGGTGAGAGGCGAGCCATGTGGCTGGCAGGAAGGGGAGGAGGGACGGGACATTCCCAGCAGAGTCCTCCCTCTGAGCCCCCACAGCAGCAGCTTAGAAGGTGCAGTGGGAGGAAGGTGGACAGGTCTCAGGGAAAGAACCTTGTTGACAAGCAAGGACTTGGGCTTTTCTGCTCAACTGTCCCCATTTTGCCCAAAAGGCAACCAACCCAGGACCCAGTCACCCAGCCTGCCCGTGGCCTGGGATGAGCCCTGCCTGTCTCCCCACAGGACCTGCCCTGTGCCCTCGGGCTTGGGACGCTGCTGGCCCTGCCAGGGGTCCTGGGCTCCGGCGGCGCCAAGGACACGGTGGGCTCCAGCTCTGTCACTGTGGTCCTGCTGCTACTGCTGCTGCTCCTGCTCGCCACTGGCCTGGCCCTGGCCTGGTGCCGCCTCAGCCGGGACTCCGGAGGCTACTACCACCCGGCCCGCCTGGGGGCCGCGCTGTGGGGCCGCACCCGCCGCCTGCTCTGGGCCAGCCCACCAGGCCGCTGGCTCCGGGCCCGGGCGGAGCTGGAGTCACCAGAGGAGGACCCCGAGCGGCAGGAGGATGAGCAGGACGAGGAAGACTACAGCCTTGACGGTGGTCCCCAGAAGGCCGAGCCCCAGGAAGAGGAGCAGCGGTGCGGAGAGCAGCACAGCCCACAGCACAGCCCCCAGCACGGCCCAGAGCCCGCACAGGAAGCACGTGAGGGTGACGCCGGCGACACTGAAGGGGGCCTGAGCCTGGGCTCCAAGGAGCTGCGAGGCTCAGCAGGCAGCTCCGAGGCCCTGCTGAGCGACCTGCACGCCTTCGCTGGCAGCGCCGCCTGGGACGACAGTGCTGGGGCAGCTGGGGGCAAGGGCCTCCACGTCACCGCCCTGTAGGGGCCAGCCCTGGGGCCACATCCCCGTCGCTGCGCCTCTGCTTCCCCAGCTGCCGTGACAGGAGTCTGCCTGCCCTGGACCCCACTGTCACATCCACAGGGAGAGCCTCAGACTGTCACTCGCCCCTCAGGCTTGTCCCCAAGGCCATGCAGCTCTGCCCCCTCCGGGAAGGGCACTCATTCCCTGGGGCACTGAGCAGCCCTCTGAAATAAAGCCCTCCACCCTGTGCATCTGTGGTCCTGTAGTGACCCTTCTGCCCGAGCAGAAGCTCCTCTGGCACGACCTTCCCACTCCTGCCCCCAGACGGCCAAAGAAAGGGCCAGGTCGGTGCCATGATCTGATCCTTTATTCTGCGAGCGCACAGCTCAGCGGCGGGAGGCCCTCCCCCGCAGCCAGCCCCCACTCATGATTCAGGGGCATGGCCACTCCCAACAGAAACACACTCTCACACACACTCACTGCTGTACCCCAGTGTCCCCTGCGGTCCTTCTTGGCCTGCAGGGAGGAGCCTCAGCAGCTGGCTTCATCCCTGCCCATCCTCCTAGTGCCCAGGGTGCCCACGGCCCCTCTTGGACTTCTTTTTCCCTGAAGGGGGTCGGATGGGGAGGGGGACAGTGGTCGAGGGTGGTGGTGGCGGTGCTGGCAGGAGAGGAGGTAGAGGGGGCTCCATGGGCTCTGGTGGGCCGGGGCTGGGCCGGAACCCCTCAAAGGGTGAGAACTTCAGGGGGCTACAGGGAAAACCAAGGCAGAGTCAGCGCCTCCTGGCACCAGGGCAGGAGGGCCGACTTCCCCACCTGACTGGGTGCATAGGCTGTGAGGGCAAGTGCCCACCCAGGCAGCCCCTGCCACCAGGCACCCCGAGGAGGATGGGAACTGCGGCTGTTGCTGGCTAAGAGCCTCAGCCGGGGCCGCCCTGGGCTTGACGGCGGAGCCACAGCTCGAACCGGCCTCCTGGCCCAGCCCTGGGCTCCCCTCTGCTCCGAGTACCTGATGGGGGTCCGGGGGCTGCTGTTGAGGCGCCTGGGGGAGCGCCGCTTGGGCTGGAAGGAGAAGCCCTCCTTGATGCTGTCCAGGACGGAGGGCGCCACGTACGTGAAGCCCTGGGGGCAGAGGCGGGGCAGGCGATGCTCAGCAGCCACTGCGCCTGGGCCAGCCCCGCCCGTGTCCCCAGCCTGCAGGCCGCCCAGACCGTACCAGGAAGGCCTGGTTGGCGCTCTCACTGAGGGCCGAGTCGTCCGGACTGTCCACTGGCGTCTGCCGCGTGAAGTGGGTGTCAAACTGGCTCACGTCCTCTTCTGACTGCTGTGGGCAGACCCGAGTGGGGAGGGGTCAAGGGGCGGCCAAAATGGGGGTCCTCCACCCATCCCTGGGCCCATGGGACCACCACTCACCAGACAGGGCCTGAAAGGGGGGTCCACACGGCGGGCCAGGAGATCATCCCAATTAATGTGCCGGAAAAAGGGGTGCCTCTGTGGGTAGAGCGCCCCCAAACATGCCAACAGTTCACCCCCCTTGGCTCCCTCAGTAACTCTCTCTGCCCTCCAGCACCCCCCTATGGTGGTCCCAGGCCAGGGCACCTGTACATCAGCAGCGTCCCCTGGGCCACCCCCGATCCGTTGGCTGGGATTCCGCTTCAGAAACTATAGGACAGGACAGAGGGTGAGGGTCTGGGACAGAGGTGGTGCTCGGGGGTCCCCGTGCTCCCAGGAGCTGGCTGGGGAGTGGATGGCGGTGGAGAGGAGGGAGAAGCGGGAGGAGAGGCCTGTGGAGTGTGGTCTCTACCTACTGATGCTCAGACTTCCAAGGTTTGGTCCAATGCCCGCTTCTCTACGAAGCCTTTACAAAGGCCCATGGCTGCTGGCATCACCCAGGGTGCTTTAGTGGGGACCCAACTCCAAATCTGCATGAGGGCCTACCGTGCCCTGGTTGCCTTTTCAGTGCAAGAGTGGCTAGCTCATCACGAACGCTTTGCAAGTTAGGACCAGGGACTTGGGGTCAGCAGCTGCTCTGCGTCAGAGCTAAGCCCCAAGCTCAATGTCTGGAACTGCAAAGTGGGGCTCCTCCATCCCAGGGGCCCCCTGCACAGGCTGGAATGCTCTGGCGCCCCACGACCCAGAGGCGCTCAGGAACCCACGCAGGGCCTGGGAAATGAGCCGGGCTGGACCAAGGGCAGGAGGGAGCCCACCTTTTTGACGAGGTCCCGGGCATCCGGGGTGAGGTAAGGGGGCAGCGCCAGCTTCCCTTTGATGATCTTGTCCATGGTTTTCTTCCGATTCTCTGCAGTGAAGGGTGGCTGAGGGGAGGAGGGTGAGAGGAGCCTTGTGGGCCTCCCTCCGGGCCCTGCCCTGCCCGGGAGAGGGACCTCCTCCTGCCCTCACTCCGCCCTCCCCAGGAGGCTGGACTTGCCGATCCAGTGAGCATGTCGTACATCAGGGCGCCCAGGCTCCACCAGTCCACCGCCCGGTTGTGGCCGCTGCGCACCAGAATCTCAGGGGCCCTGGAAGTCAGTAGAACCATCAGCTGCGCCAGGCCCTTCCTGGCTGTCCTCCCAACCCTGGGCCTCGCCAGCTGCCCCTTACATGTACTCAATGGTGCCACAGAAGGTGTGGGTGACGACACCCTCATGAATGGACTCCTTGCAGAGTCCGAAGTCCGTCAGTTTGATGTGGCCTGAGGAGGAGTGTTGGAGGAGCGGTCAGGGCCCAGGCCACCCCACGGGCTCCTCAGCCCTCCCCGCAGGTTCTGACCAATAGATACGACTGCACATGCGCACCCTGACTGTTCAGCATGATGTTCTCGGGTTTGAGGTCCCGGTAGATGATGCCTTGGGAGTGGAGGTGGCCCAGGGCCAGTGTGATCTCTGCCAGGTAGAAACTGCAGAGATGGGGCAGGGAGAGGGCAAGAGTGACGTGGGGAAGGCAGGCCCCAGGATTCCTGAAGCCCCCAGGAGAGAGGTGGGAAGTAGCACCCACCAGGCCGTGTCTTCCAGGAAGATGCCCTCTCGCTCCAAGTGTGTGAAGAGCTCGCCGCCTGCGACACAAACACGTCAGCGGCCGTGTGCTGGGACCCAGCTCCCTTGTTCTCCGAGCCTTGGATTCCTCTTGGGGGAGGGGGGCTCATGATCCCGCCCTACCTGCCTCACAGAGCTGCCGTGGGGGTTCAATTCAATTCAGCAAACATCTACCGACGCCTACTCGGTGCCTGGCCCTGTGCTGGGCGAAGCTGGGGACAGAGATAAAGAGACCCAGCCATCGCCCTCAGGACGCTCAGTCTAACGGGAGAAGACATGCCAGACGGAGGCGGCAGCTCTGAGAGCTCAACCCCAAACACCTCACAGAGGAGACAAAGGAGGAAGAATTAATCCCAAGGTGAGGGGACAGGAAGGCTTGGCAGCCGTGGGACTTAAAGGGGATGCTGAGATGGCGCTCAGGCAGACGGGGTAGGGGGAAAAGCAGGCCTGGACCGCTCCATGGCGAACAGGAGCCCCCAGGAGAGGCCAGGCCAAGGAGGTCAGGCTGTATCCGGGCAGTTACAGGGAGCCATGAATTCTGAGGAGTGTTGGGAACAATGCCAGGCTCTGAGGCGACGACCTGGGAGTTAATGGAGGAGACACTAGGAGAGGCTGAGCCGGAGTTAGGACAGCTGTGCCCTCCCCCTGCCCCTGGAAGAGTGGAGAGGATGGAGTCATGGCAGAGAATGACCTAACTGGCTCTGGGACCTGACTGGATGCAGGTAGCTGATGCCTGGGGAGTGGAGGTGGCCCAGGAGGAAGGAACAGGACACGAGGGGACAGTGGAAATGGATAAAACAGCCCTCTAGACTTCTAAACAAACTCCCACATTCCCATCCACCCCCAACACAGGCGAGGGACACAATAGGCATCAGATAGGTGTTTGCTGAATGAATGAACAGATGAATGAATGAACGAATGAACGAATAAAGGGATGGACAGAGACTGACAGATGGGTGTGGGGACCCCCGAGCTGTTCTACACACATCTCTCCAGGCTTCCCTCAGACCCCCAGACCTTCCTGTGCTGGTTCCGTGGCCCTGCCCATGCCCTCGCCAGGCCCCCTCATACCACTGAGGCACTCGAGGATGAGGTAGAGTTTGCCACCAGTCTGGAAGGCATAGGCCAGCTCCACAATGAAGGGGTGCCTCACTGACTCCAGAATGTTTCGTTCAGCCCGGGTGTGCGCCGTGTCCTTGGCGTTGCGCACAATCTTGGCCTGGAGAGGCAGGGATCAGTTAGAAGGTGGGTACCGGGGGCTCCTTTCGTCCCTCCAGCCATTATCCTCCAGCCACCCTCTCTCAACCTCTAGCAGTTTTCGCAGCCTCAGTGCTACCAACTCCTTGGTGTGGGGGGCTGCCTTGTGCATGGCAGGATATTTAGCAGCGTCCCGGGTCTCTACCCACTGGATACCATTAGCACCCTCTCTAGTCACGATTCCAAAATGTACCCAGGCATTGCCAAATGTCCCCTGGGGGCAAGGCTGCCCATGGTCGGGAATTACTGCCAGAACAATACCCAGCCATGAGCTACATACTGACATTTCAGTCAACAACAAAGCACATCTGTGACGCTGGTCCCACAAAGTATAATAAAGCTAAGAATTTCTGTCTCCTAGTGATGAGGTAAAGTCCTAACGCAACCCATTTCTCGAACGTTTGTGGCGATGCTGGTGTAAACAGACCCACTGGGCTGCCAACTATATGAAAGTATAGCACTGCCCTGGCTCGTTTGGCCTGTCGGTTAGAGCACCGACCCGAGGACTGAAGGGTCGTGGGTTCAATTCCCAGTCAAGGGCACGTGCCTCGGTTGCAGGCTCAGTTCCTGGACCTGGCTGGGGCATGTACGGAAGGCAACCAATCTCTGCATCTCTCTCACATCGATGTTTCTCTCTCTCTCCCTCCCTCTTTCACTCTGTCTGAAAATCAATGGAGAAATATCCTCTGGTGAGGATTTAAAAAAATATGGGTCGTACCAGTTTGGCTCAGTGTCTAGAGCAGCGGCCTGTGGGCCGAAGGGTCCCAGGTACGATTCCGGTCAGGGGCATGTACCTTGGTTGCGGACACATCCCCTGTAAGAGGTGTGCAGGAGGCGGCTGATCGATGTTTCTCTCTTATCGATGTTTCTAACTCTCTACCTCTCCCTTTCTCTCTGTAAAAAAATCAATAAAATATATTTAAAAAAAATAAAAAAATATGGTATCCACAATTATGTAGAGTACATATTTGCAAACAATAAATGACTATGTTACTGACTCATGTATGTGCTATACTATACTTTTTCTCTCTCTTTTCGAGTGTGCTCTTTCTACTTATAAATACCACAGTCCACCCTGCCTCACCGCAGCAGCCTCATACATCTCGTTTACAGCATCTCTGGATTGCATCACTTTCCCGTATTTGATCTAATCTTGCGCTGTTTTGTGCAGTGATGTGCTGGACAGGCTGGTAGCCCAGGAGCAGCAGGCTCTGCCCTGTTGTCTGGTGTGCAGGAGGTGAGACCATCTAGGCTTGTGTAAGTGCACACTGTGAGGTTCGGAAACAATGAGATTGCCTAACAACGCATTGCTCAGAATGCATGCCCTCATTAAGTGGGGCATGACTGTGATCACAATTGACAACAGACCAGCAAAGGCCCAAGAGCAGGGCTGTCTCCTCCACTATGCTATGCTCCCTGCCATCTCCCCAAAACCTAGTGCAGCACGTCGGGAATGGCAGATTTGTTGGCTGGACCAATAACTCACCTTCCTCAGGACCTTCATGGCATATATTTTGCCCAAGTTGGTGCCCTGCACCTTTCGCACCTGGAACACCTGTAGGGCAGGGAAGACGGGATCAACTTCCCTCTCTACACCCTCTCTTCAGAAGGCGCCACCCCACCCTGAAGCACTGGGACCTTGAGGCTGATGCCACCTAAGGGTGGGGCAGTAAAGATTTCAAGTCCGATTCTAAAAGGATTTGCCCTTCCACCCTTTACATTTCTGCCTCTGGGTTCTGTGGGAGGCTCCGGGTAGACAAGCCTCGTTTGTTGGAAGCCCTGGCGGTGAAGCCTGTGAGGGAGGAGGGGGCCAGTACCTTGCCATATCCCCCCTTGCCCAGCACACGCAGCAGCTCAAAGCAGTGGGGCCCAATGCGCTCGGGGCCGGGGTTCACACTGGTCTCCGTCAGCTCCACCTCCTCATAGTGCCCCGCGGGCCTGTGGACACAGGAGGACGATGGGGGCAAGGCTCCCTCCTCCCCAGGTTCCCTTCCCACTCCCGCCTCCCCCCGCACGACCCTCACTCACTCCAGGGCAGCCGTCCTCAGGTCGGCGAGGGGACACGCGTCCTGTGGGGAACCGAGGGGTCAGAGGCCAGGGAGGTGCAGGACCGCTCCCGCACGAGCTGGGCTGCTCGGCCCAGGAGAGGAAGGGGCGGGAATGGGAGCTGGCAGGTGACGGGCAGGACTGGGAGGAGAGGACGAGAGCAGAAAAGGAAGGATCGGGGGTAGGGCCTGGAAGGCAGGTCGGGGTGGCGGTGGGGAAGGCGCTGAATAGGGGCCGGGATCTGAGAAAGATCGGGATCTGCAGGAGCGGGGTCCACTCTGATGGGGGGCGCCGAGGCGATCCCAACGGCTGGGTGATGGGATCGGCTCTGGGATCCAGCCGCGCCCGGGAGGACCACTCACCGCAGGGCTGAACTCTGGCTCGCCCTCGCCCTCGCCCTCGCTGCCTTCCTCCGTCTCCAGGTCCAGGTC